AAGAGTCAGACATTTAAGTGACTGAGCCCCCCAGGCACCCTGACCGTAAAGTAATTTTAAGGCCAAAGGTGAAAATAAAGATGTGTCCTAAGATCATTAAATGAATGTGAAATCCAAGTGATCAATGAAGAAAGCCATAATCTTAATGAGGAATGTGGAATTCAATGTACTCAAATCAGGAGGAAAAATGAGTTAATGACCTATCTCGAAACCAAGAGAGACCAACTCATAAAATATAGGAGTTTGGGGTTCATGTTGTACAATAAGTATTAAAAGGGAGTTGGCATGTGGTCAGTGTCCCAGGGAGAATCCATTTCCTTTCTCAGCTGAAGCCTACGGTAGATTTACAGCCACAGTCTGCTGAAATGGTCTCCCCACTTGTGTGTGACACCATGGTTTTCAGGACCGGGTTAATGTTTTTAACCCATAGAAATTTCAGAATAGAGTACAAAGATTAAGTAAATTGAATCTAAATCATTAGCGCTGTTGTACTAAGTTCAAAAATAGGTTTGCTTTTTAAATCCACAATACAATCTGTATATATTTGGTATATAAAACATTGACAAGCATTAAAAAATGTTTATTAAGTATCTAACAGCTTAGCCTCTGAAATCAATTTAAATGTGTAATTGAGTAATCAATTTTAGATTCCTAATGTGAAGCTAAATGACATAAACAGTACTGAAATGCTTACCAGAACTTAAGAATCACCATCTTATAAAGTTTAATTTGTTAGCTTTACCTGGAGTGGTTTACATAGGAAGGTTTTTCTCTTAGAGAAATTTGAAGAGCTTTAAAAGAAAAATTAATATAGTAAATTGATAAAAGCAGTACAATATTTAAAGGAAGTTTATTAACTAGGTTTATAACCAGAATTGATTAAGGGAGATTGATCCATTCAACCTGAGGCGAAGAGACATAAATCTAAGCCTCCCTTCAAAGTGCTTGTTAAAATGATTAAATTAACAAGCAAAATAGGATTTGTAAAACGACTCATTCAGCATATTTACTGAGCCTATGCTGTGTGTTGGGCATTCTTTTGGGTGCAAAATCAAGGACAACAAACTCTTTATGGGGCCCAGATTCATTAAATTTAAGAGCTTTAGAAAAAAGCAACTAAGTCATTAAATGTTTTGCTTTAATATATTGGATATTAATTTTTAAAACAGGTCAGCTATAAGTAGTCTTTTCAAAATATACCCTAGGGGACATCAAAAAATTCACACTGGCAAGGCTCTCCAGTCACCCTGTACCACTGGAGCCGAGATCGCATTCAACTCCTCAAATTGTGTGTGGCTTGAGTGTTGAATCTTCCATATTGTCTTTCACATCACTCACAAGAAATCTGAGTTAACCAAGATTCTTTGCTTAAAATGCAAATGTCTCCAAGGCTAAGGAGCTAGAAGATATTTACATCTTCATGTAATTCAACCAGATTGTGTTTCCTCTACCATCTGAGTGAAGGAATAAACTTTCTGATGGAGGGAAGAGAGGAAAATAACTTTGGGGCTGGAAATACTTATGCAGAAAAGGGAAATCTGGATTTATAGTGTAGGGCTGGGAGTCCCCGGGGCAGTTGGGAGGCTGGGGAATTGGGTGAGGGATATAGAAAGAGTGATAGAAAAATGCAAAGAATTCTCAACTGTTTCAAAATCCGCCTCAACCCAGGAAAAAGAAGAGCGAGAGCCTCTTTTTTTCTTTCCCAGGTGATTATCTGTTCCCCAAATCCAGAAGTCAAAGTTGCTTTATTAAAAAGTTCCATTTGGGTCAATAAAACTTATGCAAAATGACCTGGAAATTCAAACCAACATTGTTTCCTCAGGAAAACGTTTCTCGGTTCTACACAGAGGCCTTACAACCAGTCTTTTGAAACACAACTTATTTGTAAATTGATCATTATTCTGAGAACCCGAACTCACAAAACCACACCCAGGCAGTTCCAGAAAACTGCAGAGACTCTACAGACCTCCAGCAATGACCTAAAACTCTGGGTTTCCGGAGGCGAGCCTAAGGGAAGAGCTCACTGAGCTTTACAATCCATACCTGTACTTCAGCTTTCCAGCAGTCATATATCCCAAAACCGTAAGTGACACTGGTGGCCCCATGACAGCTCACCCACCCCAACCCCCCCTCACCCCATGATTGTGACTAACTGCAAATTCCCCACGCTGACATTTCGGCACCAGGTGGAGAGCAGGTAGATGATGTTGGGGCAGAACTGTGCAGTGGTTAACACCGCAAAAGGTCCAGAGTCTGAAAGAGCTGGTTTAAAACCTAAGCGCCATACCCTGGCTGGCTGACCACCAACAAGTTACTTAAACTCTCCCAGCCTCAGTTTCGGCGTCTGCGAAGTGGGGGTAAAAATAACACCTACCGCTTGGAGTTTCTGACGGGTTTGCGTGAAATAATGCATGTACATCATTGGACCTGACATATAGGGAAGGCTCAGACTTGTACAGCAAGTCTGAGCCTAATTTACAGCAAGAACAGAGAAAGAGCGCATTATCTTCCGCCTGCTGTATGCCATTCATGGGAATGGGAGTTCCTGGCAGCTTGGTTGGCTTAAGTGATTTACAGCTTTTTTTCAACATTAAAGAAACCAGGAAAATAATCCAATTCTTACTTGGGGTCTTGAGATGCTGGAATGAGTTACAGGCTTATCAGCACTGCTCTCGAATAGTTGGCAAGGATTTGGCTTTAATCTGGTGAGGGAAAATTTCATGAAGACTCATGCAAGAGTTATGAAGAAAAAGTGCAATGCTCTCAGGGATGGACATTGAAATCATGAGTGCCTTTTCAGACATTCAGTCCTGTACTGGACCAAAATACCATGGACAGTAGTTCTTCGAGAAAGGGGTTCTTCTAAATAAATCCATATAAACCAGGCTGCGTGATTAAGGGGGAAAATGAGTTTAATAATACAGTATTAGATCGAGTATCATCCAGGAAAAGTGTACTGTAAAAAATGCTTTGAATATAAAATCGACCTCTGATAACTTTAGTGTTGTAATACTTGTATTATAGTGAGGTAGACAGTTTAAAAAAACTCTCCATTAGACAGACTTAAAATTTTGTAATAATATTTAAGAAAATGATAACATTATGAAAGAATGAAATATCTGATTAATGCTTAACTTTGTACAACTCGAATATAAACTTTAAAAATATTAGAAATTATAACATTTGAGTGCATATAACGTTTGTACATTAGGATGAATTGCATGCTATCCACTTTCTCTTTGCACTTTCAGTCACCTTAAATAAACAAATATATACAGCCTTAACAGAACAACAGTGCATCCAAAGCAAATGTGCATTTTAAATTATTTCTCCTGGCCAAGTCTTTTTTTTTTTTTACTTAGCATTTTATATTAGCATTTATTATCATTCTCACCCTTTCTTGGACAGTTTGTAGTTCTCTGAACCAAACAAGCAACAGGTTTAGATTGAGAGAGCAAAACCACTTGAGAAAAACAAAAATTTTCTTTAATGGTTGGTACAAGTTCCCTTATGTACACCATTTCATGGTCAAAGATGAGAAGGAAACGAACTCTGCAAAGGGCCTACTTATGGACAATGTTTGAAAATAATACTGGTGCAGGGGGTGGGGGAGTTCATGGGTTCAACAATCTGGGAATGGGTATTTAATTGCATTGTGCTCTCTCCTGCTTCCTTCTAGAAGATGAATGCCACCCCTGCCTCCCTCCTCACTGTCCCTTCCCCATCTCCCACCCAGAGCTCAATGTAACACTTTGCTCTTTTCACAGTTTCTCATTACTAAGTTTTAAAAACATTGCCTAACTGGTAATTACAATCTGAAACAATTCTTTTGGGGGGAGCCCTGGGCTATTGCTGGTTGGTAATCTTTCAGGAATGTTAGAGAGAGGGGAGGGAACATAGATGTGAAAGAAATCTCTGGGCACAGGGACCAGAGTCCCCTTTCATCCTTCCCTTGCCTGCTTCTGGACTGGCCCCATCTCCCCATCCTTCCAAGGGGGCCACCACCTTCCCTCCTGACTTCATCCTCTGCTTCTGGGCTCATTTCCCCTTCTCTGCACCTCTTATCTCACCTTCCCACCCCTACTTGCTTTTTGTTTAACTGGAAAATCACCTTCCCCTTAAAAGGGGATGTCTGAATTTTGGCAAACTCTGCTCAGAAAAATCAATTAGAAACAGACACCGCAGAAGGGGTTTTCCTGGGTTACCTCTATCCTGGTTCATACACCTCAGTGTCAGGCCCCCTCAGAGGCAGACCTTGTGGTTTCTCATTATCCTTTGGGGGGGTTCCATTTGGACTCATTCTTGTCATTCCATCCATACCAGTTCCCCTTTCCCCTACCAGAAAAAGCAACAGTAAAGGCAGTGACCTGAGCCCCCAACAGTGAGATGCCGGTTGCCAGCTCTCTGTACTGGGAGAGGCCAGGGCCCAGTCCGTACAGGAGCAAGTTCTTCTAAAGGCAGGGCCCTTCCTGGCTTTCCTATTCTCGCTGCTAGTTCCTCTATTTGAACACTCTCTGCTTGGGAGGTCACAAGGCACAGGCTATGACATGGCCAGGAAAAAACAAAAACAAAAACAAAAACAAAAAAACAACCACCTTCTTTACATGGGTAGAAAACAATCAAACCAAGATGTGGTCAAAGGTGATTCTTCCTCCCACACTGTTTCTCCTCTTAAACTATAAATTTTTCAATCCATGGAGCTGTTGAGAGTCTCCCCGCCCCCCCACCTCCTATCAAAACCTGTGAGGCACACACGGAAATCCAAAGCCACGATAATAAAGGGGGGGGGGGGAAACTAAATAAATCCTCCTTGGCTTGTTTTTCCGGGGTGGCCAGGCAAGGTGTGAAAATCAGTATCTCCCTCTGGGCTGGCAGGTGGAAGGTTCCGGGAAGGCTGAGCTCCCTCCTCTCCCACCCGGCTGCCATATCCAGGCTGCTCCCCGACCCCGGGCCTCCTCCGAGGCCAGCTCCTCCTCCACCTCTCTGCAGTCAGGGCGGCGGGGAAGGCGCCGCTACCTGCAGCCGCAGGACTCCACCACCATGTCCTCGTACTGCTTGTAGACTACGTTATTGCCCGCGTCGATGTACAGGATGCTGATGGGAGTCAGTTTGGTGGGCACACAGCAGCTGGGCGGGGTGGAGCCAGGATCCATGGAGTTCATCAACGTCTGGATGATGGCGTGGTTGGTGGGCTCCAGGTGCGAGCGCAGCGGGAAGTCGCACACGCCTTCGCAGTGGTAGGCCTCGTACTCCAGGGGCGCGATAATCCAGTCGTCCCAGCCCAGCTCCTTGAAGTTCACGTGCAGGGCCTTCTTGCTGCAGCGCAGCCTCGACTTCTTGCCGTGCCGCTTACCGTGGCGGCTGGCGAAGGTCGTGCGCCGCCGCCGGCGACCGGGCGAGGGCAGCCAAGGCCCGGCGTCCGGGGCGCCCGACGGCGGCGGCCAAGACCCCTCGGCGCCAGCGGCACCTGGGCCCGCGACCTCGGCCGAGCCCAGCTGTTCGCGCATCTCGGCGAACAGGTTCTTGCGCTGGGATCTGGTGAACACCACGAGCAGGGCGCGCTCCTGGGGGGGCCGCACCCTCCGGCCGAAGCCCAGACTCCGCAGGTCCGGGGGCTGCGGCTGCTGGGGCGCCGGCGCTCGTGCCTCGGCCTCCCCGGCTCCCGGCTCGCCCCACTCGGCCCGCAGCTCCAAGCACAGCTGCCTCCAGGGCTGCTGGCGCAGGCCCTGCCACACGTCGAAGACTTCCCAGCCGGCCCGGGGCGCCCCCTGCGGGTCCAGGGTCCGCGCGTCCAGCAGCAGGGGCGACAAGCAGGGGAAGAGCTGCACGTGGAGCGGCCCTGCCGGTGGCCCCCAGGGCGCTGCGGACGCCTGGCGAAAGAGCCGCAGCTCCGCGCCCACCAGCTCTTCTTTGTCTGAGAGGGTGGACACATCAAACAAATACTTCTGTCTCCGGAGAGGAGTGTGCGAGAGATCGTCTGCGAGATAAAAAATAATTACAGTCAGTTTCACTTAAGGGGGAGATCAGCCCGGTGCTCTGCGGCCGCCCCCGGGAGGAAAAGGGCGGGGAGCGGGGCAGGCCGGCTGGGAGTCCAGCTCGGCCAGCCGGGGGCCTGACCACCCCGGCTCCCCGCCCCGCCGGTGCGCAGCTAGGAGAGGGGGAGCACCAGGATAGGGCCCTCCCCACCACCACCACTCCCGCCCTCCCCGTCAGCCCGGGACTCCGAGGGCGGAAGTCGGTGGCTGGTGGCTGCGGGAGAGGCGGCCGCGCCGGCAGCCTCCCGGGTTTTCCCCCAGGAGCCTGCGTAACCACTAATGTGCCCTTTGTGGTCGTGTGCCTGGGCCGCGCTCCCCCTAGCCCTCGTTTTGGCTGGCTGGCTCGTTCTCATCATTCACGTCTCAGTTCAAATGTCATCTCCTCCCAGAGGCCATCATCGACCACCCTGATCTAAAGTAGCCTCCCTCGGTCACTATCACAGGACCCGGGTTTATTATCTTACGGGCACTTAGCACTATCTACCATGACCTCGTTTATATTTGTCTCCTTAGTGGTCTGTCTTTCCCAGCAACACCCTGCCCCAATGGCCCATAGGAGCTAGGACCCTGCCCGGTCCTGTCCATCCTACTGCAGCCGGTACAGCTGTGCCTGACCTCGAGTACATGCTGGTCAGTAAGCTGGAAACTTCCAGAGTTGTTATTCTCACTCTGGGTGTCCCTTGTAATCATCCAGAGACTTGAAAAATTACCAGTGCCAGGGCTTGCTCTAACCAACGGAAACAAGGTCTCTGAACAGAGCCTGGGTACTGGGTTTTTGCTAGTTTTTTGTTTGTTCATTTTGGGGTTTGTTTTTGTTTTTAAGCTCCAAGATGACTGAAGATGCAGCCCTAGTATAGACTGGGGGAACGTTGCTGCCCACTAGACACTTTTGCTGAAGTATTTAGGCCCAGCACAAAGCTGACAGAATGAGGGTCTTCTGTGGGATTGCTTGATTCCTTGCTTTTTCAAATTCACCATTTTAACCACAAACAAAAGAGCAACAAAGCTTTCAGAAGGGGGGGGAGGGGTGGCAAATGAATAAACACACACACACACCCCAGGCATCTATCCATTGAGAAGATCCTGCAATCAATGAGAAATACATCAGTTAGCAGAAAACCTCAAACACACACACAGTGACATTCTCCCCTCCACCCACCCACCCAACTTGAAATCTTGCTTTGCAGCTCATCTTGAAGATTAAATTTTGGGTTACAAATAAGAAAAAAAAATTAGGGAACATAATTGGGGGGGTGCAGGGAATAATGGGCTTTTAAAACCCAAGATGAATTCTTTGGGACCAAGGCAAAACTTGACTTCTTTTTTGACGCATTTGTGCATGAAACCAGCCCCACTTCAATGTGCAAGGCGGAAAGCTAACCAGATTTTCCTGGGCTGCCTTCTCATAAAATATTTACAACCCAGCAAATACAAAAATCCCCAAAGCCCCCAGCTTTCCCCAGAAGCTAGTAAAGTTTGGTTCGATTTCAATGGTAAAAGTGTCACTGGGTCCTGAGTCCAACCCTCACTGCCTGTTCAGATGTAGCCCCAGGGCACTGGACCTGGAGCCTCAGCCACACCCAGTCCCCTCTCTGGGCTGACTGCGGCGCTGGCTACCTCCCTCGAAGGCACATGTCCCAACCTGAGATCGAGCTGTGGGAAGGGTTAGAGAGGTGAAGAGGGAAAAGCTGCTGGAGGCGGTTGATTTATGGAAGCCAAGACCTTCAAACCGACCAGGGTCACATTAAAATCAGTGGGAACTCAGCACACTTTCTTCTCCTCCTTTAAAGAAACCTTCGTCTGACAACCTTCAGCCACCACCCAGCTCTCTGAACCTATTGCCTTAGGCTTCACTTTCTTGCCTCTCATATTTCTCGCTCCCCAAACTAAGGATGTAATGAGAGGGACTGAAGGCATTTGCTGCACCAGCTAAGTATTGGGAGGGCTGACAGTTTTCACCCTTACTTTATCCACAAGCACAGACCAGTTCTGTAAGGTAGTTCCCATTTTGCAGGTGGGAAAATGGAGGTTTGGAGAAATGAAGTTAATTACCGAAGGCTGGCTGCTAGTAAGTGAAAAAAGTTGAGATCCAAACTTAAGTCTATTTAATTCCAGAGTTGGAGCATTTAGCCCCATTGCCTCTCCAATAGAGTGCGGGTACTAGAGTTTAAAAGCAACCAGCAATGGCTGGGGGATGAGGGATGGGGGATACAGTCCAAACTGTATTTACAGAGCTTGCTGGGAATCAAACATGGATGCCATAAGGAAATCATTTCCATCTCTGCTTACATAACTCTTGAGATAGTTTGTCACGGGCTGGAGAGCATAAGAAGGAGTAATGGGTCATCTATTTATTTCTCCCTCATGAAACATGGAGCAATCCGCCTTCTTTGGTTTTTACTCTTAAAAAAAAAAAAAGTGTGGGCTAGTCATGGTTAGTCTCTACAGCTGAGTCACATTTCTCTGGTCCCCAAGAATGGTCAAAACAGAGGAAAGCCTCTGTAGAAAGAGGGCTCTACTGATTCTGCAGCCTTGGGATTTCTGATGATCTTTCTAGCAAGACCAGCCAGCCCAAGGCTCAAGGAAAGGATGCAAATGGGAACTTCAGTCAGTAACCTGCTCCCTTCTCTTTCCATACCAGCTCCAACCCACCACTTAGCAGCGCCCACATGACTGTGGACAACTTCGACCACAGGTCCAGGCTTCCCAGGTGTGTATCAGTGGTGTAGATACACTCTTAGGAGGACAGACCCAATGAAGCAGCTGGCCGGGCCCTGGAAGGGGACTATTTGGGGAAGGGCTCTATGGTTGGGGCACCACAGTAGAGTAGTAGCTCTCAAGGCCACTGAACCTAAAGATCCCTAAATCTGCAAGATCAATGTGACATCATACAGCATCACATTTGTTAGAAACAGAAATTCTCTCAGGACCCAGGGGTTTGTAGGAGCCCAGAATTTGCATTTGTCTTAGTTCCCAGGTAATGCTGATTTGCTGGTCTGGGATCCCACTGTAATAACCACTAATCCCAGATGAGCTTGTCCCCTTGGCTAGGGCACCATTGGAGCTGGGGCAAAACAGTGTCCACCAAAACACAGGACCCAGGGCAGGGTCTAAGGCGGTACTCACCAGAACCAAGTCACTATTTCTCCCAGCTCCTTTTTGTCCCCCCTCCACAGTCACCCCCACTTTTTTTTTTTTTTTTTACTCTTTCAGCCACGTGTACTCCCACTAGGTCTCTGCGAACTCTAATCCCTAATCCCTTAACAGAGGGTCCAAGAAAGTGGCTACTCTGCGTGGCCCTCCTACAGACCACATTCCCCACCTGTCTGGACCTGCTCTGGAGCCATGCATCACAGAAATAGCCCAGAGGAGGCATCCGACCTGGGGAGTGCAAACACCACCATCCCCTGTGACCCTGAAGACACTCTGCCTGATGACCTGGCATCAAAAAGCCTGGCTCTGCCACCAAGACCACCTGTAGGTAGGAAACCAGCCCTTCACATTCTCTTCCACAGGTCTCCTCTCCCATTAAGTCCGGTATAAATGAGGTCTGATATCATCAGATGACCCTCTCTCCCATCCTCCTCCCTAGAAACATGCACCTTTCATTGGGTCTGTGGCATTTTATTTACATCTTGGAAATGAATCCTAAGCTTTAGGCCTTTATATTGAAATCAGTCAGTAATAAATCGGGGGGAGAATTTTTATTTTGGTCTTAATTTGCATGAACCCGGTTTGTTACCACTTGGCTCAAACCCAGTTACCTCAGGGCTTGTAGAGTAGTAGAGGGAGGTACAAACCTTTCAAGTTACAATGGCTGGATTTGCCCTTATCAATTTTCCCAGGTAGGTGGATGCAGGAAGGAGGGGGAGGAGAGATGGAGAAGGAAGAAGCAAACCATCTGCATATTTGAAGAAAAGTCTTCATAAATAGGTCAGCCTTTTTTGAAGTAAGAGTAAGTTGGCAAAAGGTTGAGGTGAGGACACCTCAAATATGCACACCTCGTATGGAATTTGATAAACAATTTTAAAAAGAAGCCAATGAGGACAGGAGAAAAAGAAGGAGTCACTTCCAAGGCAGGGACTGTAACACCCATTTAAATGAGAAAACTGGCCTAGGAAGGTAGAGTCATCAGCGCAGGTTGGAGCTACAGTGCTTGACTGGAGGGAGCTAAGAAACAAACCCAGACAGGAAAGGAAAAGGATGCTCATGGCACCAAAGACCAGACACCAGAGAACCTGAGTCCCAGGAGGACAGCCTTATCGAGGGACATTCAGCGGCTGCAAATGTGCCTCCAGGGTCCCCCAGGGCTATCCCTGCTGGGGCCACCCCTCCAGGGTTTTCGAAAACCCTCAACTTCATTTGGTTTGGGGCGAGAAGGTCTTGCACTGCCTTTTTTTCCAAGACATCTCTGAGATATGCAGGCAGCTTGAGGTCCCTCTTGAGAATCCTCGCCTTGAGGGTTCCCCCGGGGCTCCAGGTCTCTCAGAGAGCTCCCCTGTGCGTGTCAGGCTCCCATCCTTTTAATTCTCGGTGACCCTGGACGGCCACTGGCCAAGCGTCTGGCAGGCCTGCACCCGCACCCGCCCGCCACCTCTCCACGCGTCTTGCCCCACGTCCTCCGAAGACACAGATCCTGCGACAAGGCAGTGGCTCAGAGAGCCAATATGATAATGGGCTTTCCCACGCCCGCTTCCACAGATAGAGGGATGGGAGGGGCGGGATCGGCACCCGTCTTTACATAGAAAACTCCCGGACGTCTTCGCAGTTAAGCCTTTCCCCCCAACCCGCGTCATTTTTGAGCCAACAGCAGCACGCAAGCTTCTGGGACGCGTCTTTGCGGTAGGCACGTGCTCCGGGCTTCGATGGGCTCTGTCCCCGAATCCTCACCGCGGGGTGTGAGGCCCGTTCTAGAGTTAGACTCATTTATAGATGAGGAAAC